GTTTTAGGTAGGTGTGGTTGACTCTTAACTTTTATAAAGAATATCTCTTTGGATTTGAGACTTTAGTCTTTGCTACTTTACAGATCTTCTTTATGCACCAAGAGCTTGTAACACTCCAAAGAGAAAGGAAAAATTGAAATTGCATCATATGACCCCTTTAAGTAAAATAAACTGATTAAGTATACAGTAATCTTTTTACTGTGTATGAATGCTTTTGTCTTTGGGAAATATATATATATATATATATATATATTTTTTTTTTTTAAATAAATGAAAGTATTTTTTAAGTTAGTGAATATGTCATTAAATGTCAGTTCCAGTGGCTGTACCTGACAGACACGTCCCAGATCCTTGGCCAGGTTGACAATGAACTGCTGGCTCTCGTCCAGTGGTTCTCTCTTCTCATTTTTCACCTTCTTACGAAACTCCTGAATGAATAAATTCATTAAATGTTATATGAATCTTGGTAAACGCTAAAAAAAAGCTATTTCAAGGCTAGTCTCAGTGATGGACTGCCTACACGCCCTATTCATGAAACACAAAAGAACAAATTTATCAGATAAATCAATCTGTACATATTACTTTTGGGTTGACAGAAATCATCACATTGACGACACATTAAAACAAACTGTAATCGGTCTCTTTTTGTGTCATTCATGAAGTTTCTTGGCTGCACTACCCTGCTGAAAAAAAAAACAATAGACACCATTACAAAATTGTAATGGTTTTATTGGTTATAATGGGACTTGTGTTGGTTTTAATGGAAACTGTAATGGACACTGTGGGTTTCTACTGGTCGCCTTCTATTGGTGGCTTGTTAAAACCAATACATCCTAATGGAATATATCCCAAAACACACTACAGAAAACCATTTTTAATGGTTTTAATAGTTAAAAGTTAATGGTTTGTAATGTTTGTAATGCTATTTGTAGTGGAAACCATTAGAATTTTCTGTGATGGTTTCTATTGTTTTTCTCAGCAGGGTAAGCTGTAAAATGGACCAGAATTTATTCTGAAAGTTCAAAAGTGTGTCTATGTGAAACTATTTCAGCATGTTCAGGGAGGTTTTCCATTAAGGTTACAGCAAACAAACAAGAACAGTGTTTCATTAAAATGCAACTAATGCGTGGTCTACTTCCTGTGTCTTTGTCTCCTGTTAATGAGCAGCAGAAGACTCACAGCTATTGAAACCGGTCACAATGACCAGCTAAAAGAGCCTTTTATCTCACTTTTTCGACTAAGAGATAGACCAACTTTGTCATGCCTACTGAATGTTTTGAAACAACAGTTTAATTCTGTTTTCATATGTCACTGTATCTAAGAAGAACAGATTGACAACATATTTGTGCAAGGTACCTTATACTTCTCCGTAACATTCTTGGTTGGTTCGACCAGAAACTGAAGACACTGCATCATGGTGGCTGCTGCTCACAGAAATCCTTCACCAGAGGAAATAACTACAGCAAAGACAGAAAATGACAACGGTTTTCTGTCAAAACTTAGAGGTCATTTAAAGGTTTTTCTTACTGAGTGATACACAAACCTAATTTAAACTTCAAAAACAATGTGTCAACCCAGCAGACTGCTTGATAAATGATTGAACACTAAGCAGATATATAAGACACCTTGCCCTTGACCTGAATAAAGCAAAGCTTCAGGAGTTCAATGTTTATACAACATTCAACCGCACGGCCTACACTCTTGTAAAAACAAATAAGTGTGCTTAATTGTATTGAAAGTGTACTAAAAATCTTTAAAGTATATTTGTGACCCTGGAGCACAAAAGCAGTCTTAAGTCGCTTGGGTATATCTACAATACATTTTTATTTAATTGCTATTAAGTGTCAGAAAACATTACATTCAGTTTGCACTTAAGTAGGCCTATTCTTTTAAAGTGAATGATTTCCATAACAAGCCAACTTTTTTAAAGACTGCTAAAGTGTACTTCCTTTTTCACAAGTGTCGCATGACAACAAAACCAGATTTGATCCTTTTATGAAGATAATAAGTGGTGCTTGTCCACCATCATACTGGAGTGCTGTGGGTGTTTGCCAGAGCTGTTTTTTTCCCCACACATCTTATCATCTGTCAGAAAATCGAGTTATGAGCAAAAACGATAACAAAAAGTCTTTTGGACATTAAGATCACTAAAGAAAAAAACCTACTATCTGTGCAAAAGCTCCTTTTGTGACTGAGGAGAGCACACGTGACTCAAAGCTGTGATGATCATCAGAGGATGTGGTGGAGGATTATCCAAACACCAACATTACAATCTAACTTATTGTAATAAAACATAAACAAAGAGGAAGAATATAGTGCCGCTGCTCATTTGCAGTAATTAATATTAGAAATGACTCATTTCATAGAGCTTAGATTAATATTTTGTTTGATACTTTGATATTATACGGTATCCGAGCTAATACAACAAAATTCATATGAAATCATATGAAATTATTATAACTAACTACCAATTATAATTATCTGTTGTATCATTTCTGAGAACAGACAGGTAAGACTTGGTCTAGGATCTTATAAAAGGGCTCGTATCGTGCAATTTCAGCATTTGTAATGGGGTTCAAAAGGCTTATAAATATCAGCATGCATTTAAACATAATCAAAATCTGAGAAATGTCAATTTGACTGCATTGTAATTCTGACACGCGTCTAGAGCTGAATGAATACTGGAAGAGACGCATGACTTTGCTGCACTGCACAAGCTCTTTCATGTATATTGATGAGGCAATGCCCTTGAACGACATTCTCAAGTCAGTCCGACACAACATATTTCGCATGATCTTCACACTGCGAGTGTATGCATGCAAACAATGTCATGCTGTGTTTTCATGGCGTACATGAGAAAACAACATGCTGCACAAGGTTTGCAAAAATAGACATAGAGAAAATAAATCAGCATGCATATGTCTGTATGCATTCATCACTGTACCTGTAAGAGGTGTGCTGTGCCGCGGGATGGATCCTTCCACAGAGAAAGTCGTCCAGCGAGTCAGAGGAGAATGACTGCTGCAGCGAATACTTGACCTTGTTTACATACAATGACTTCGCAGAGCCGAACACGAGCCGAACGGCATTCGGGCTTTTCCGGAAAACAGATGCGGAGTGAAAGCGGCTCCATGTTTAGTGTGGCCCAAGGTAAGTGAGTCTTGTACTATACATGATATGAATTTTCTTTTCTTTTAACTTTATAAAAAGAAGAACATAGTTATATGGTTCTCTAAATCAAAAGTAGCCTATAATAAATGTGAATAAAAATGTGAATTTGAGAATGTCACCAAAGTTTGTTTATTTATCTATTTATCATGACATTTCTTTCTCCCAAATTGAAATTCACTATTTCACCCATAGTTTCTGCTAGTAAAATGAACATGTAATCGTCTTCAGACAGTATAAGAAGCATCAGTCGTTTTATTTTATTTGTTGGTGGTAAATAACTATTGCTTATACATTTTACTATTATAGTTATGAATTACCCCTAAACCAAAGTTGGCACAGTTTTCATACAAATAAGCAAATAATACAAAACACAAATAATATCAATGACTGTAATGACATATGAAGAGTTCAGATGCAAAAGCCTCTAAGTGCCATCTGAAAAGTTCTTCTAAAATTAGCATTTTTATCAGGCTCCTATGTTTAGGTTCAGAAATGTCACTTTAATGGCAATGTATAGGTCCTTTTATATGCCATTAAAGTTAAATAAATGAACATAAACATAGGAGCCTGATAAAAAAGCTAATTTTAGAAGAAATTTTCAGATGGCACTTAGAGGCTTTTGCATCTGAACTCTTCATATGTTAACCATGATGTGTTTTTTTTGGTAAAATAAATAAATAATATTAATACAGTTGTTTTTCAACTGTATTTCCTTTTACTTTTCTTTCTTTAAATTGTGCTGCCAAATGTACTGACAAGCAAAAATCCACTTTAATGTAATTTCTATTGAAATATGTGATTTATTTAAATATATTTGTAATTACACATTCGCAGTGATAAAGTTGCAATTTAGGACATTTAACCCTCTATAGGAGTAATTGTGAATTTACAGCGTAAAAAAATATTGACTTTATATTTTACATATATTTAGGAGTAAAATCATTTTCCATTTTTTTGTCAGATTGTCTGAAACGTCACACACAATCAAATGCTTGTTCACTATCTGAAAGGAAGTGAAAAAATCTTACTGTTTCCAAAAAAAAAAAAAAAAAAAAAACTTTATGAACATTCAATTTTTTTCTTGTGCTGCTATATTTGATTTGGAACTCACGCGTGAAAATGTCTAAAACTTGACACAAATTCGGATGCAATTTTACTGCCTGAAAACCATGTCTTAGTGTTTCAGAAGCATTAAAACAATTTTAACATTGCGTTTCATCTTGGAATTTCAAATCAATTATTGTAGCACAAGTGAAAGTCAACAAGACTCTTCTTTTTCAGTGTACCCCACACGTCCCACATATAAGTAGATGTTGACTTGTGCAGTCATCATTGGAGCATCGCTGCCTGTCAGTATAGTAATGCCAATAGACATTGGCATCTTTCCTGACCTCTGGTTGTTGTATGGATCACATCTTTCAAACTGGCATACAATAATGTACCCAAATGCCTGACTTCCACAACAACCTATTCTTCATCACTGCCCTCACCCTCATTGCTTCTATCCTCCTTGGTCCTCAACAACTTGTTTTATTACTACAACCTGATTTTCTGATGCTTTCATATCACTATCATCAATACTTTCTGAAATAAGTACAGATTTGTCTCTCCATCTTCCAAAAATCGTACAAAAATGAACCTAAAACACATGCATAAAGTCTATTATACTGCCCGCCAATGCTGGTCAATAGTGCCAGCTACACAAAATATGCATCACATAATAAGACTTTGTCAGTTATGCATGACGCTCAGATTTGTTGGTCTCTGAGTTGTTGATTTTTATAAAAGTGCATGAAAAATGACAAAAAAATGTAGAAAACACATTTGGATGTACAATTATATTTTTTTTATCTTGAATTTATATGTATTTTCTAGTCTAAAATGAGCTCACTATGAAGCCTTGAGAGCATGTGACCTAACATGTGCTAATGTCTCCAAAGCTAATTTTAGAAGAAATTTTCAGATGGCACTTAGAGGCTTTTGCATCTGAACTCTTCATATGTTAACCATGATGTGTTTTTTTTGGTAAAATAAATAAATAATATTAATACAGTTGTTTTTCAACTGTATTTCCTTTTACTTTTCTTTCTTTAAATTGTGCTGCCAAATGTACTGACAAGCAAAAATCCACTTTAATGTAATTTCTATTGAAATATGTAATTTATTTAAATATATTTGTAATTACACATTCGCAGTGATAAAGTTGCAATTTAGGACATTTAACCCTCTATAGGAGTAATTGTGAATTTACAGCGTAAAAAAATATTGACTTTATATTTTACATATATTTAGGAGTAAAATCATTTTCCATTTTTTTGTCAGATTGTCTGAAACGTCACACACAATCAAATGCTTGTTCACTATCTGAAAGGAAGTGAAAAAATCTTACTGTTTCCAAAAAAAAAAAAAAAAAAAAAATGAACATAAACATAGGAGCCTGATAAAAAAGCTAATTTTAGAAGAAATTTTCAGATGGCACTTAGAGGCTTTTGCATCTGAACTCTTCATATGTTAACCATGATGTGTTTTTTTTGGTAAAATAAATAAATAATATTAATACAGTTGTTTTTCAACTGTATTTCCTTTTACTTTTCTTTCTTTAAATTGTGCTGCCAAATGTACTGACAAGCAAAAATCCACTTTAATGTAATTTCTATTGAAATATGTGATTTATTTAAATATATTTGTAATTACACATTCGCAGTGATAAAGTTGCAATTTAGGACATTTAACCCTCTATAGGAGTAATTGTGAATTTACAGCGTAAAAAAATATTGACTTTATATTTTACATATATTTAGGAGTAAAATCATTTTCCATTTTTTTGTCAGATTGTCTGAAACGTCACACACAATCAAATGCTTGTTCACTATCTGAAAGGAAGTGAAAAAATCTTACTGTTTCCAAAAAAAAAAAAAAAAAAAAAACTTTTGAACTTTAAATTTTTTTTTTATGTGTCTATATTTTA